ATTCACATCTCTTTTTACTCTTTGTATCTATTTGGTCACAGAAATGGTTTGCAACTAGATTCCAAACCATGATCAATATAAAAAAATGCATAAATACAGAATACCTACTGATGTTCACTATACTAATTAATGTTCTAAACCATTAAAGCATGTGATAATAAACAACCTTAACTTTACACAGATTGACTGCAGTGTGTATTTTCTCTTTATTTTACTTGTAAATTTGCACTAACAATTGTGACTGCAGGAGATTACAACCAATAATTCCTGAAGCAGTTCAGATCACTCTCACCATTAACAGGGCTATAAGGCCACTTAATGTGTCTACTGAGGGCTTAGCTGAGCTTTCTCTTCAATGCAAATCCTAAATTCTTCTACTGCTGTTGCTTAACAGAATTTACAAGGTAGAAGGAAAAGAATACTCACAAAGTCTAATTAAAAAAAAAAATTCAAATATTAAGTTGTTTCTCTTCATGCCGAGGGTATATTTTTCTTTGTAATAAGCCTAGAAAACATGGTACTATTTAGTGATGGTTTTGTTTTTAGTAGGTGGAAGGTAAAAATAAATCTCTACTAACTCTACTGAAGATTTAGTTCTTTCACATTTTCATTTTCTAAACTAAGTCTTCAGAAAAAAAAAAAAAAAAGCATATTTTCAGACTAGAGCATCAATTAAGTGTGATCAACTCCAGCTGATTTAAAGACTAACAGTGTATTATAAACTGACTAAAATACCCGTCTGCTGATTCAGAATAGCAGTAAAAACTGCAGCAACACATATACAAATACAAAACACAGAATGCATAAAAACAGCATTACTCAGAAAAAGGCTGTATTTAGACTATTGCAATAAGAAAGGAAGTTCATACAGGACTCTAAAAATAATTATGAAAACATAAGGTTGAAAAACTAAGAAACTTCAAGAGACTCCTTCCACCAACATCTACTCAGTCAAAAAGGGTTTAAAATAGGCTAAGGTGCTGCACCTGCCTCTCTGACACTCTTCATTTTCTGTTGTTAAAGTTCATGCTTTCCTATTTTTAAAATAAACTTCTCTCCATACTCTGACATAAACATCCACACCTACAGCAGTAACAAACTGGTGTATAAGTAAAGGAAAGTAGGATAGGTTCTTCCTAGGTAAAGCCCTCTTCAGTACCACATGCAGCATAGAAGTGAAATAAATAAATCTCATATTGCTCTTATATAACTTGCATTTATGTCCTAAATGCAACATTTCAGACTGCAAGCCCTTTTGCTTGCTCTAATGCAGGTTCTGAAGGCACAAGTTTAAAATAAAACAAACACAGACCTAATTTAAATGCTACCTTATACTACATTATTATGATTCTACTGCTTACTCCCCCCACCACAAGTTGTATTTTTAAGTTTTTTGAAACTGTCATTAAACAAATGACAACACCCACAGTTCTTGACAAACACATAAATCTTGTATCCTTGCATTGTTTGCCTTTAAAGTTTAGCCTGCTCAGCACTATAGAATAAAATATGAGTGTGTAATTAGTAAGCAGCATTAGTAATATTAAGGTGAGGCTTACATCAACAGGAATTTACCTTCACATCCACTAGAAACACACTGTAGCTAAAGAAAATAAACATTAACCATAATTATAGCCATTAAGAAGTTCTTCCATCTATATTTCAGGAATAGCTCTGTTAGTTAAAAGGCCTACAACTGGGCATAGAAGTAAGTACGGACAGTGCTGTTACAGGCACTAAACATCTCATCAGTTTTAACCATATCCTTCTTTAACATCAGCCATCTCCTTTATCTGAAACAAGCATGATAATGACAGATATTTCTCTGTTCTGATCAGTTTGACTTATATTATTCTAGAAAAACACTGTACAGCATTGTGTAACAGTACTGTTCATCAAAGTGCAACATTAGGGTTTTTTTGTTATCTTGCTGTCTAATTGAAATTGTTGGGAAACCTTATCACTCTTGGCAGGGGCTATACATGAGTCCTTACTATGCCATTGAACCACTACTGTTAATGTCACATTACTCTATTTTAAGTAATTGTTTCTTTTCTCATAAACATGTATCTCTTCATTGTCTTAAAAAAATATTAATGGTAACAAAAATAACTACACGATGAAGCTTTAGGCCACAGGAGGTGTTACCTTGCCTTCTGAGTCATAGAATCCAAACAGAGCACTCAAAGATTAGTCTCCTAGGAAGATTTAGGTTCTAATTTGCATAATTTTGCACAAGGCTATTCCCAGTTTGAATTTGTAGGGCTGAGGTCTTCCATATGAAAATGATGACTCTTACAATTTTGTAATTAGGATTTAGTCTATATTATGTCAAGATCTGAAACATTTGAGAAACTTTCTATTCCCATGCTTTGAAAGATTTCACTGTTACTTGCATATTCCACAAGCGGTTTCCCCATTATAATCTTTTTTTTTTTTTTGCCTCATCTCTTCCACAAAAATCTTCTATTTTCTTCCTACCATAAAGGTGAGAATAAAACAGAGAAAAATACAAGTGAAGTGGTTTTATTTTTCAATTCAGTTTCAGAAATGTCTGCCCCCCACAAAACATGTAGCATTTAGTTACTCCAGTTAACTCCTCAGTTTTTTTCTTACTGCCTTTGGCAACAAAGATCACCAAGTATTAGATCAGGGTGGGAGATCAATACTGATCCAATCCTCAGGTGCAGAGTGTTGTCTGCAACTTCCATTGCTGAACATGCACGAAGAGACCCATCATAGTTTTTACTAAAGCACCTTCCTTCTCAAAAAGCCTCAAACAAATCCTTGCCATTGTGTTTTAATACATATTAAATAAATACCACTTATCCTTTACTTCTATGAATAAAGTCTATCAGAATTTTCATCTCTATCCTAAAAAATAACCCTCCATGCTTGCCCATTCAAGCGGGTCTGTTTCCTCCAGTCCTGTAGTTTATGGGTCATAATTCTCATGCAAAGCTTCAAGTATTTATTTGACAAGCACCTCGGAAAGCTCTCGATTTAGCACTCATTTACGCTCAAGATTTAGCACAGCCCCCGCAGCACTCCCCTCTGCCACGGAAATTACCGCGTCCAAACAGACTCATCCTCACCGGGACCCAGCCAGGACACAGCGACAGGGGCCCCTTGTCCACAAGCCGTGGTTCTCACCTCTCCCACCCACTGCGTGCTCCTGAGATCATATTTTTCACTTTTTTAACTCCTGTTTTCTCTTGGTCATTTATTTCCTCACGAATATTTCCTATGATTTTGCACAGCTGAGGCAACACAGATGCCCGAGCTCAGCATCACTTGTGCTGCGAGCTAGCGTCACCCTCAAGGGCAGGACTTAGGATTTAAAACGGGGTAAAACACCGCTTCGGGGGAGCCAGGGGAGCCGGGACGAGGAACGGGGTGAGGAGACAAGAGACCCAAGAGCCCCGTGCCTCAGCACGGCACCAGGGAGCAGCGAGGGGGGGCGAGAGCAGCGCCGCTCCCGCCCGGGCCCCCGGGCACGCTCTGCCCGCGCCAGCCCCCGCAGCGCCGGGGGCCCGGGGCGGAGGGGCCGGCCCGGCCGCACTCACCGCTCATGGTGCCCGCGGGGCTCCGTCCGCCGGAGCCGCCGCTCTCCGCACAGCCACGGCCGGGCCGGCAGCCACCGCCCGCCCCGGAACCCGCCCGGCGCCCCGGAAGGTAAACACGGCCCCGGGAGCGCCGCGCTGCGCGTCCCGGCCCGCGGCTCCTCGGCGCGGCCCCGCGCCCTCCGCGCCCTCAGCGCGGCCCCGCGCCCTCCGCGCCCTCCGCGCCCTCAGCGCCCTCGGCGCCCTCAGCGCGGCCCCGCGCCCTCAGCGCCCTCAGCGCGGCCCCGCGCCCTCGGCGCCCTCAGCGCCCTCCGCGCCCTCCGCGCCCTCGGCGCCCTCAGCGCCGCCGCGCCCTCAGCGCCCTCAGCGCGGCCCCGCGCCCTCAGCGCCCTCCGCGCCCTCGGCGCCCTCAGCGCCGCCGCGCCCTCAGCGCCCTCAGCGCGGCCCCGCGCCCTCAGCGCGCCCGGCCCCGCCGGGCAGGGGCAGCCTGCGGGGCAGGAACGCGGCACCGCGAGAGGAGGGGCGAGACAAGTGGCGATAAAGTTCCTCTGCTGCCGCATGTGCTGTGCTGGGTGCACGCTCGGAAAGGGTCGTTAAATAAAAACAAAAAACAAAGTGAGGATAATAACAAATTCCATAAGTTTCTAGGCCTGTTTGAGAGGTTTTGGCCCTGTGTGGCCAAAACCACACAGAACACCTAACTCCCAACTCACCCCAAACAGTGTCTGCCTCCTAAAGTTGCTGAAGCACATCATTCTTAGATTTCATGCAATTAAATACTTCAGTTTGTTGTTCATGCAGGAACTTGAAGTAGCATGTTAGCTACACATAAAGATGATTGTTGTTCTGGTTGCTGGTGTGGTTATTGCTCCTGTTGTTGCAGTTTTCCAGGAATAAAACTAGCCTAATATTAGGAAAGTAACATTAATGCTTGGAAGGCAAGGTGACAAATATATTCCTAATTTTAGGCCACAGAGCAGTCTAGCATGACTAATCACCCATCCTTGCAAATGTAACAAGGGTAAGTAAAAAAACTTAGTAAAAGATAAATAAATCTCAGTCTGAAAACACTTGGCACTGCAAGGAAAGCCTGTGCCACCAGGAAGTATATGGGATGGCAGGGGTTGCAGTGAAGGCCAGAGCTGGGCTTCAGTGACCCTTGTGGTCCCTTCTGACTCAGGACCTTCTGTGATTCTATGATCTGTGCTCCCCAGCACCCCACATCCCTTAGGGTGACCCAGTGAGTGATACCTTCTGAACCCAGGGGCCTCCATACTCTACAAGATATCCATCTTTAGAACATTCCTATTTCAAGTGTTGAAATTACTCTTTTCAAGACTGGATGTACTGTAGGTCTTCATTTTCACGTCTTGGAACAGTCCTTGTGTACCATCAAGTAATTTTGGGCACAAGATCTGAGTCTAACATGAACATACATATTTGCAAAGTTGTTTATTTTGTATATGTCTGTTGTAAGTAGGTACAATCTCTAAAGGCAGAAAAAGCTGTCCTATGTAAGGACTTTCTGAAACTAAAAATTCCAATAAGTAATTGAGTGCCTGAGAATACTGTAGAAATAGTTAACTAATGAAATACTAGAATTAGAAATAATATGATAATATTAATGCAAGCACAATGGGAGATCTCTAAGGATGGTGTACTGCTGTCTCCACTTACTGCAAGCATTAAGGTTTACAGCTCTACTGGAATAACTCATTTATTATTGCTCAGTAGAAATACACTTCTCTCCCCGTCATCCAATACCCAGAATGTAATTGTAATAATCAAAAGATTTGGTGGTAACTAGAACAGTAGCTCGTTCTTCAGTAGCTGGTAATGGAAATGAAGTTTCACAGCCAGTCTGAGGTTTTACCAAGCCACAGTCACTGCAAGTGCATTCTTCCACTGAATACATTAATGTTTCACTTGGAAGTGTGTGTCTAATTTCTTCTGTATTCACACTGCCTTCAGTATTAGCCTTGAGAATATTATTCGGCTCCACAGAGGAGTCTGTAAATACACAGAAATTAATTTAGTACATACATCATGCTAAACAAAGAGCTATTAAAGACGCAAATTTCATTATGGCCCAACTATGTTCTAACCTCAGTGAAAATTTTAAGGTATAGTGAAAGTTTTAAGATGTTGCTACATATGATAATCTTTTGTTCAATGACAATACAACCCTCTAGTTCAGAATAAGCATTGAAGTAATTCAACACATTTTCTAATTATTGTGTGAAAACTCACAAATATAGTATTTGTAAAATGGAAAAAAAACTTTTTTCACCTTCCCAAAATATACCACATATGCTTCTCACAGACTACAATATTAAATAAGATTATTTAAAGTCTTAAAAACTGAAAAGCTAATATTGAATGTGTATCCTCTGCCTGGGAACAATTCCTTTTGCATTCAGTGAGGGTGAAACCCTTATGAAGTTTTTTGCTTTTAAGTTTTCATAAATGATTTCTCAAACAGCAGCAAGTAAGCCAGGTATGAATATGCAACAACAAAATCCTCATGGGATCCAGAACCCACAAAGAGAAATTGCTGCTTTTGCAAGTCAACATCTGGATATTTATTCCCTAATAACTATGATAATTTCATGGAGACTATTTGAGGAATACCAAACAATCCAACAAAGACCAAACAATCCAACAAAGACAGTCATAAGAATCTGTAACATATACAATGTTTTTACATGTTAAGAGTAGCTAAAAAGGTACAATGATCTAAAATTATTTTATGAAGTATTTATTCACCTGTGTTTTCCAGTTTTTCTTTTAGTTGCTTTAGGTGCTTCCATTTAAACAAGATCATTAAGGTAAACAGAGTGATTATTAAAATCAACCCTATGCCCAAACAAATCCAAAGAATTCCACTTGAATCAGTACCTTATGAAACAAAAGAGATGCATTACATTAATCATAAACAATAACTAATGTACAGTAAACATGTTCAACACATCAAACCTGAATGTAAAATACAACATGAAGATGCCCAGCACAGCCACAGAGTATTGCAGAAATCTACTTACTCTTCTCACAGTAGTTTTCACAGGAGGGCGGTGGTGCACTGGAACACCGGAGGTGACAAGGAGTACAAGAGAGCAGCAAATTATCAAAGTATTCATTTTTGGGGCACTGTGCCATCAGGGGCAGTAATTATGGAACTACAAAGCCACAGAAATTGTAAAAGAGCGAGGATCATGTACAAAAGGCTTCTCAGTTCTCAGTTTGAGCTACTCTAAGAACAGCTAGCAGTAATAATGGACTTCCATCACAGTTCCACTGCATGGGATCATGTTACAGAAAAAGGATTTAACTCTGAGGTCCCCAAGGAATTACTGTTCCTTTTTTGGCAATTCACAATTTTAGAAAAACTGAGCAGCTGCACCAAGATAATTTTCAATGTAAATTTTGTATGAAACAGAAAATGGTTATTTATGGAAGATGTTTCTAGAGCAGGTGCTAAATACTACAAACTGTAGAGAAAAAAGATCTCCAAATAGGACTTCATAATAATTGTTCTCGTCTCTAAAACTAGGGTTTTTTTTCATGGTGATTGCATTTCAATTCTAAATTAGCCTCTGACTACAGACTGTCACAATCAAAGTAGTTTACACAGATAAGTTGTATCTTGATGTTTTATTCTAATAGAATTTATTTTAAATACAGAGTTAACTAATAGTTTCTAGCAAGTAGCAATAACTGCCTCTATCCAGTATCACTGTCACAGACAGATCAGAATTATAGGATCTCTCTCTTTATCATACTTAAGTTAATTGCCTTTTTGACTACAGAAATATAAAAGAAAAACATTATATAAGGAGTTGTAATTTCAAACCACATTACTATGAGACTTATTTTCCCACAAAATACATCATGTGGGAGTACACAAATTGGTTTTAGTGGAGCAGCCTAACAGATCTGTATTCTAGTTTCCAGCAGATGGAAATGCTTATTGTGGCTTCTGCACTTGTTTCTATGGCCTTGCACAGCTCAAAGCTTTCTATCTCAGGCTTTTCTCCCTCTTCAAGATTAGGGGATAAATAGGAATTTATGAAATCTGATTTAGGTGTGAGAGAAGAAAATAAGGGTAGAGTCTGTGGTTTATGCCAGAACTTTCACTAGGAAGTCAGTGCTGGTGCTGAAGTCATAAAACTGGTTCTGCCTTGCTCCATACAATCACACTCTGGGGGGAGAAACCTCAGTTATGGCTGCAACATTATCCATGTTTCTGGTGAAGCACCATTTGGTACTTTATGCACAGAGAAATTTCAGGTTTTGCTTTTAAGATGCTGTTTAGCCTTTTCAGTCATGGAGAGGACAGTCACATTCTCAACAGTGATCTCAAGAAAGCAGATACTCATGAAAGTATCTTCATGGTATCCACAGCTACAGTAAGTGAATTTCAGGATAGACAAGCTGATCCAATTCTTTAAGCTTTTTTCCACTGACTTTGGTGAAAGATCCCAGCCTTTGCTGCATTCCTGGCTTACATTTTCAGGGGTGCAACACCTTACATTTGTCTTTGTTGGACTTTGTTATGCACTTCTGCTCTGTGTGTTGCTGTGATGTACCCTACAACTGATATCTACTCGATATGCTATTGGTACTATTCATAAAAATTGTAAAGGGACATTGAAAGAGAAATGTTGATCTAAAAGCAAGGAAAGAAATAACAAAATGTGCTTAGGTCATTAAAGATGTGGTAGATTACATACAGATAAGCTGATTAAATGTCTTTGTGTTAATGAAAGGGATAGTCCTGCTCTTCATTCTATGTACTCTGAAATGTGAGGAAGGGCTGGAGGGCTTACAGCTTTAATTCATTGTGGCAAACAGCTTTAATTCATTTATTGAGTCAGTTCATGGAATTTTACGTCCTAGGCCCTGGAAAAAAGGCCAGAAACAACACAGAAAAAAAATATATATAAACAGCTGATCACCTACTGGCAACATGCAACTAAGTCCACCAGAGAAATCTACATTTGGTGAACTAATGCACCAATGTCTTAATTTGAAAAGTCCTGTCAAACTCTAAGTACAGTAGAAATTAATTTATGCCTAATTATTTGAGATTGTATATATAGGAAAATAAGATATTGTGGCAGAAATATTTTCTCTCTCAGTTGGTCAGAAAGTTTTCCTATATGGCTGGTTAGAGTTCAAACATATTTATTGTAAGACACAAGGTAGTTTCATATTTTCAGTCAAACTCTAGGAAACTTCCCCCCAAGTAAAAGGCACAATACAGCTCGTTTCATCAGAGCTCTGGAGAATGATGCTGTCTCTTACAGCAATAATTTTCCCTCTACAGTTGGACTACTATTTCCTAAAGCTTACAGCCTTTAAGGATAAACTGATTTATTTTGACAGATGTGCCCCAAACCACAAATCCTGATAATTAAGCAATACATTTTTCACACATTGGAAACTGGGGAGCAATGACAGTAAAGGGTCTCTACTGTGTCATTCCTTTAAGCAGCCACCATTCAAGTGCCAGACTTTTTCCCTTAGCTATACACAGTATAGCTAAATGATGTATGCAATGACAAAACACAGGCAACAAATGGTTCAAAAAACGATGAGGAATTAGAGTTGTCATGGCCCGCTGCCTTTGTTTTCTGCACATCCTAACATTCAGAAGTTCCCTTCCTCAAGGGCATGAAAGCAAGCATGTAATCAATCAATCTTGATAAGTAATAGATCCCCCTGACAGATCTCACTACACATCTAAAGCACACATTATTTCAAAATCTATATCCAGAAGTAATAAAGACATTTTCTAGCTTAACAAGGTTCTTGTGCAACCTTCATTTTTGAGTAATTTTGGTAGCAAGGAGCCAATATTTAAAAAATCCAAACAAACAACCCTTTAAGCACTTTTTTGGAAGAAGTGTGCTATACCAACTGGCTTTAATATGAGATGCTTTATACCTAAATTGAGAAGCTGTTTATACAGTAAAATATTGGATTCAGACAACAAATGAAACAAAAACCAGAAGCATTAAGAATAAATTCATTAAGTGACATTAAGAATATTGTTACTTAGAAACTGTATCTATATTATGTTAATAATCATTCTGTTGCCTTGTATAATACACATTAAATCCTCTAAGCAGAATACCGATTTGTTACATGTAGACTATGCAAACACACAAAAAAAATGAGATGATGGTATGGAATGATGGTTCTTCTACAGTGATATTTACCTTTAGGGAATAATAAATGCATGCCTTACTTACCAGTAAAGTTACATTTCAGCTTTTGTTCAGTTATGGGATTTACAGAGCTTGCACTGGCTTTCCAAACAATTACATGTTGATGCTAATAAATGCTCTCTTCTTTTAATTTGATTTTGCTTCAAAACAATGGCAGAAATAAGCAGAGTTGGACAAAATAAGAAAGGATTTATCAACTACAATAATCATTCAACCATAAATCACAAAGTATTGCCAGGGAAGTATTTCTGCAGTTACATTACTGTAACTGAAATTCAAAAACTATCCAAGATATCCTCTAAGAATAATTCAGACAAGTTAAGTTGGCCTGCTGGAGTTGGCATCCTTACAGAGAGCAATGGGAAAAAATGCAAGAAGTGAAGTATCAACTGCAGAAAGAACAGGAAGAAAAAAGAGAAAAGGAAAACCAATTCTCAGATTTGTTTCCAAAATTTTCTGACTCAGGAATGACACCTGGGGACAATTTATAAAGACCAGTATGAATGCTATTTTCTGTTTGTTGTTTAAAAGAATGGTTTTAGCACTGACAGTTGTAGTAGGGTATCAAATTGCTGAACAGCATTTCAAGCAATCAAATCATTTTTACAGGTGAAAGGAGTACAGGTGAAGGGAGCATAACCCAGCATAGAGCAGGAGTTGGTGCTTTGGAGTTGTACACAAACATACACAAATGGTTTAGACCTACAGCCTTCTCCCATGGGAGCAGAACACCTCCAGTTTCATGTTGTTGTGGCATAAAACAGGCACACCAAGCACTGAACATCCAGCTAGAGCATTTCCTGCCATGAACCCAAATTTGACTGCTGGTTTTGTTAAACATCTGGAGAAACCAAAGACTTCCAGAAATCCTTGTCAGTTCTTATTTGTGACATATTAAATTGATATTATGTAACAGAAATCAGTCACCTGGAGAAGGTAAGAAAAATTTTTTCTCTCACTATTTAACTTGAAAAAGCTGTTGTGAGTGTCTAAGCAAAAATAATAAAATGAGGACTCTGGATGGAAAATCAAAGTAAGTAATACCATCATATCAATGATTAAAGATTGAAATTCATCTGTCACAGAACAATAACTTGATCTGTTTACCACATATAACTTAAACAACAAAGTTTTGTTCTGGCACTGCTTCAGGCTTTCTCTGTTGAAGCGTGTGCCAACTTTTTTGCCTGACTGTACTTGAGAAATTCTGCTGGCATAATTACATAGCACTTACCAAGAGAAAGAGGGTTTTCTGCTAGGACTATAACATTCCCTTCACAAACAACATTAGCTAGGCTGACAAAGGAATTCTTCTGGTTGTATAGTTGCTTCTACATTGATGGTTTTGTGCTGGCACAGCTCTTTTTTTCCCACTCACTAAGGCAACTGACCTATGCTGTCAAATCTTATACTACAGGCTTGCTCTGATCCTCTCCAATTCTCTAAAGCTATTTACAGAACAAATCTCCCAGAAAAGTCTCTTATAAATCACCTCACCTCAACAATCCTAAAAATCTGTAAGACCAATGTACATACCAAAAAACACTTTTTCTTCTCAAAAGTTATTGCACTTCTAGGAAACGCAGTCTTACAGAAGTCATCTCCTAAAACAGTGTTAAAGATTTCTGAAACAGTTATTTTCAGAAATCCATGTTTTGTGAAGTGCATGCTTTGACTGTATGGCTGGGAGGAGATAAGCTGTTCTAGGAATGGGGCACACACTGCTAGTAAATAAAAGAATGGAGCTATTAAAGGGTTCATCATGTTCATTAACTTTTACAAGCTGCACTGAACAATGCTGCTCTTAGACAAAATATTGTTTAATGTCATTTGCACACAGAGCAAAAACAAGAACAATGTGGATTTTGCCTGTTTGGTTCAGCACATTTTAATTAGACCACAGCTTTGAAAAGAGTGATGTTGCTGGTGCTACATTGA